TTCTCATTCATTCTCAGTTAATTTATTCTATTATATTTTCATTTATCAATTACATTACACTCATTCATTCATTCGTTCGTTCGTTCGTTCGTTCGTTTGTTTGTTCGTTCGTTCATTCATTCATTCAACGATTTGTGAATTGTTTGCGTTATTATTATATATTGTTATTATTATTATTGTTATTATTATTATTATTATTATTATTATTGTTATTATTACTAATTGAAAAGTTAGTTGCAGGTACGGTGATCACTTGAGCTTATTAAGCGCTTCAGAAAATCATCTCGATGATGATAATGACGAAGACGAAGATGATGATGATGATGACGTTGATGATGATAATGATGATGTTGTTGTTGATTTATATGATGACAAAGATAATGATGGTACTTATATATTAAATATTATTCTTATTATTATTATATTATTATTATATTATCATTATATTATATTAAGTTGGTCTTCTGATAACCCTATTCATTCAAGGATTATAACTTAACAAATTAGAAACAACAAATTCAATCCAATCAAACAATCAACCAACCAATCATTCAATCATTCAGTCAACCAAATAATCTATTAGGTTATTCATTCATTCATTCATTCAAACATTCAAACATTCAACCAATCATTATATCAAATCTACCAACCAACCAACTAACGAACCACACAGCCAATCAACCAACCAATTAATCAATCAACTAACCAATTAATCAATCAACCAACCAACTAACCAATTAAACAACCAATCAGCCAACCAACCAACCAATTAGCCAGCCATTCCCTCAAAAAACCTTGCAAGCCTCACACGTGTTAACTCCATAATGAAATCCGCTAGATCTTTCGCCGCAGATTTTACAAGGAGGTAGTACAGGGCCGGCCAAAATAGTCTGCATTTCTTTTTTATTATGGGTTAAATTAAAAAATGGCTGATTTGTTTTTGTCGGTAGAGTTGTTGTTGTTGCTGCTGCTGCTGCTGTTGTTGTTAAAAGTTCTCGTGTTGTTGTGTAGAGAGTTGCGATAGAAATTTTGTCTCGTTGTTGACGACGACGATGATGACGACAACGACGATGATGATGTTGATGATGATGTTGACAATGTTGATGTTGTTGTTGTTGATGTGTTGGTGGGAAGAGTTTAAATGAAACTTTGTTTTGCTGCTGAAGCATTTGCTGAAGATGTTATTATTATTTTATTGTTATTATTATCTCATTACAGTAGTAGTAGTAGTAGTAGTAGTAGTAGTAGTAGTAGTAGTAGTAGTAGTAGTAGTGGTAGTAGTACTGTTGGTTCAATTAAATACCAAAAAACTTTTGATAACAGAAATGAAAGTCATTGCTAATGATCTTCTGGCTGTTAAGTCTTATATACACTCGTATGTATGTATGTATGTATGTATGTATGTATGTATGTATGTATGTATGTGTGTGTGTGTGTGTGTATGTATGTATGTATGTATGTATGTGTGTGTGTGTGTGTGGTGTGTATGTGTGTGTGTGTGTGTGTGTGTGTGTGTGTGTGTGTGTGTGTGTGTGTGTGTGTGTGTGTGTGTGTGT